AATCACGAGAAGAATTATCCGACGCATGATTTGGAGCTTGCGGCAGTTGTGTTTGCTTTGAAAATATGGCGGCATTATCTTTATGGAGTCCATGTGGATGTGTTTTCAGACCACAAGAGTCTCCAGTATTTGTTCAAGCAGAAGGAATTGAACTTAGGCAGCGACGGTGGTTAGAATTACTCAAGGATTATGATATGAACATTTTGTACCATCCAGGGAAGGCGAACGTGGTGGCCGACGCTCTCTGTCGGAAATCTATGGGTAGTTTGGCTCATTTGGGAGTGGATCAAAGGCCCTTGGCTCGGGAGGTTTATCAATTGGCCAGTCTAGGGGTTTGTATTTCGACATCAGACGAGGGGAATGTTATGGTACATAATGGAGCAGAATCGTCACTCGTAGCGGAAGTCAAGGAAAAGCAGTTTATCGATCCAGCATTGGCTCAAATGAAGGAAGCAGTTTTGAGTAACAAGACTTCGGCATTTTCACTCGGCGACGAGGATGGTGTATTGCGGTGTCAAGGTAGGCTGTGTGTTCCGGATGTGGATAAGCTTCGGGAGAGGGTAATGGCGGAGGCTCATAATTCCAGATATTCCGTGCATCCAGGTTCTACAAAAATATATCATGACCTCAAGGAGATTTATTGGTGGAACGGTATGAAGAGGGGTGTGGCGGACTTTGTATCTAAATGTCCGAATTGTCAGCAAGTGAAGGCCCGGTGGGCTAACTCAGCTTATGGAAATACCAATGTGGAAATGGGAGATGATCAACATGGATTTCGTGGTAGGATTACCTCGCACTCAGCGCAAGTTCGACTCAATTTGGGTAATAGTGGATCGACTCACCAAATCAGCTCACTTCTTGCCAGTCAAGTCCACCGATACTGCAGAACAATACGCTAAGTTGTATATCAAGGAGATAGTAAGGCTTCATGGCACTCCACTTTCTATTAACTCAGATCGAGGGGCCCAGTTCACAGCTAATTTTTGGAAGAAATTTCAGCAAGGTTTGGGTACTCAGGTGAATCTCAGCTCAGCTTTCCATCCACAGACTGATGGTCAAGCGGAGCGGACTATCTAAACGCTTGAAGATATGTTGCGGGCTTGTGTCTTGGATTTCAAAGGTAATTTGGATGATCACTTGCCACTTATAGAATTTGTTTACAATAACAGCTTCCATGCTAGCATTCAAATGGCCCCATTCGAGGCATTGTACGGAAGGAGGTGCAGGTCTCCAATCGGATGGTTTGAAGTGGGTGAAGCAGAATTAATAGGGTCGGATCTTGTGCACCAGGCTGTGGAGAAAGTTAAAGTCATTCAGGAAAGGATGAAAACTGCTCAGAGTCGCCAGAAATCCTACGCGGACGTTCGTCGAAGAGAATTGGAATTTCAAGTTGATGATTGGGTGTTCTTGAGGGTATCTCCTATGAAGGGAGTCATGCGATTCGGGAAGAAAGGTAAGTTGAATCCTAGGTACGTCGGGCCGTACCGGATCGTTCAAAGGGTAGGGCAGGTGGCCTATAGGTTGGAATTGCCTCCCGAAATGTCATTAGTGCATCCGGTGTTCCATGTGTCCATGTTGAAGAAAGTGGTTGGAGATCCATCCACCATCGTGCCAGTCGAGACTATCGAGGTTAATGAAGAGCTGTCGTATGAAGAAGTTCCGGTTGCCATTCTTGATAGACAAGTCCGTAAATTGAGAAATAAGGAAGTTGCCTCAGTTAAGGTGTTGTGGCGAAGTCAACAAGTTGAGGAAGCTACGTGGGAAGCGGAGAAAGAAATGAAAGAGAAATATCCCCATCTATTTGATCAAGTCTAGAAGAAATTATGTGACCTTTCTATCTCTAAAACAACTACCATTGTGTCCAAGTTGATTCCTTCCTAAATGCTAGTGAAGTCCCTCTAGTTGTGCAAGACTTATAGGTGTAGGGATTGTTTCAAGTAATGTGAACATTTCTTTGGTAAATGAAAGCCTTATAAAGACTCTTGTGTTAAGTAATCAAGTAATGGTTGTATAAGTTGGTAATGAATTACTTGTATGCTTGTAATGTGTTGAAATGGCTAAATTATGTGAAACTCATTTGAAATAACTGATTCATAAGCAAAACGTATCAAGTGATCAAATGTGTGCAATTGTTAAGGTAGGAAATTATATGACAGTTGTAGGAATGGTTGTAATTCTGTTATGGTGTTTTGGAATTTGTGTTTCGGGGGGTCCCTCTGTCAGGTGGAGATGTCCAAAATTCAAAAGGAAACTCTGCAAAATTTTTCTAAAAAATTTGGGAAATAGTGAA